AGCTCGTGAGCTGTAGTTCGAACTACACAACTTAATGACAGTGTTTGCGAACGTTCGTTCGAACTATGGTTTCGAGAAACACCTGCGTCGTTTAACGATGCATCGTACCACGTAAGTCCGCAGTATCGTTACCTATGTAGTTTGAACTATGGTTTCGAGAAACACCTGCGTCGTACTTACATAGTTCGAACGACGGAAGTTGCTAACGTAGTTAGCAACAATGGTTTCGAGAAACGCACCCCTGGTTAGTAGCTCTCCAGGACTGGAGTTGGAGACCCCTGCTGTAGACAGAGGACAGATTCTTCATTCCAGTCCTTTATCTCCCTTATCTGTGCTTTCTGTCTGAACCAAGTGGAGGTAGTGGCAGTGATTTATAGGCATCTTTAACAGACCCATAACAAAGATCCAAAATCTTGTCCTGCTTGGTTGGACAGGACAAATATTGGATATAATTTATGAGTGTCTTTTTGAGAGAGACATGGTTAAAATCACACAGTATGAAGTTTGGTGCCTCGGGTGAGAGTGACTGCAGTTTCTGTACTACATCGAGGATGGTGGTAGATGCAGACGTGGTGTTTGCCTTCAGGTGAATCTACCCTGTTGTAATAAAACGTTGTGGACATAGATAAGAGTTCAATATCTGCCATGCAGATGCATTCTCTAACAGTCACAAAAGTGCAGTATCACTTGTTACTATATAAGCTTACCCTGCCACATTTCCGTGTTTGCTCCCCCTATCGATCAAACCGAAACGGCGCTCCAAAACCATCGATAAACAATTCAGTATCCTGGTCATGCTCCGTTAGCCATGTCTCCATGAAGGCCATAACACAACAGTCTCTTAAGTTCTTCTGAAAAGAAACATTTCCCTGGAGCTCATCTACATTGTTACTCAGGGACTGGACATTAACCAAGATCTTCGAAGGAAGAAGAAGCCAGTTGAGTTTCTGTTTCCTTTATCTTTGTTCATGTAAAATCCTGGACACACTCAATAATCAAGCACAGGGAGATGAATACACACAGCCCTCTTTTACTGGTGGATCGGTACTGTAACAGACATAATTGTGGGCCAACTATAAAGTAACAAGCAATAGCAATTTCACATTAGAACCACAAGGTACCATCACAACCAATCCATTACACTCCTCCCCCTTTAGCTTGGAGCAACCTTCTTCCAAATCAAACCATTTAAACTGGTCTTAGTCTTAGTCTGAATGGCACAGCCCATTTATACTGATGGCTCAGATTCTGCAGCTGGCTGGCACAACCTAACTGGAGATCTAGCACCTAATTCTCACCATGGTAATGTGTGGTTCACATGCACTGTACAATGTTTCTGGCTATCAGCTAACAGATAAGTGACCATTCCCAGTCTTTTCAGAACAGTTTACTGAAGCCATTTCTCCACCTCTCCCCTGATATTCCGGACACGGATGGGCTCTCCTTCCAGAAAAACATGAACAGCTGACAGAGTAGGGAACAGCCCACGATCATGATGGCACTTCTTTGCAGCTTGCTTCTCCCCGATCCATTTGGCAAGTTTAGGTTTCAGCAAACTGAAAAGGGTTCTGATGAGCCATTTCAGAAACAACTCCACCGGTGTCTGACCAGTCATGGTGTGAGGTGTACTATGGTACTATAGGAAATGTGCAAGTCTATGGCTGAGTGGCAAGGGGGCTTCACCATCTGTTTCCAGCACATCTTTCATCAGAGCTTGTTTCAGGATTTGCCCAGATCTCTCTACCGTCCCATCTGATGCAGGCTGGTATTCCGGCACAGCAGTTACATAGTTCCTGAAGGAACTATGTAAACTTCTTAGACACTAGTTGCCAGTAGGGCTGCAGCTATCGATTATTTTAGCAATCGAGTATTCTGTCGATTATTCCATCGATTAATCAAATAATCGGATAAAAAATACTTTTGTCTTATTAAAGAGCAATAGTAACTATTCAAAAAAGAAAAAATAGACAGGTCTCTTAAAATGAACAACTCATGGGTTTCCTTTTTAGGAACATTTTTAATGATTGAACTCCATACAACAACTGACAAAAGAACAAAACCCTTTTAGTGCATTTATGTACATATTTGTTTTGTTTTTTTAAAGAAAACACTTTCTTAAATGCAAAAATAAATAAAATAATGTCAAATAAAATGAATGAAAAAGGGCATGTATACATCTTAAAGTAAGGCATTAATTAAAATGGGCTTTTCTCTCTGTATTCTTGTACATTTATAGGAGGCATAAAAAAGTTCTGACAGGATTGTATATCCTGGATGAGGTAGGAATGGTGTGTGCATGTTCATGTATGTGTAAGTGAATGTGAGTGAGAGTGTGTGTGATTAAGTAAGAATGAGTGTGTGTGTAAGTGAATGTGAGTGAGTGTGTGTGTGAGCCTTTAAAGGAGCATATGGCGGTTGGATAATTCAGTGTCTCAGAGTTTTACTGGCCCAAGGGGTGGGTGGGTAATTTTTATGATATTTATATTATATTATTTATATTATTACAATTATGTAATATTATTCATATTAATCTAAATCTGCAAAATAATATTAATAAAGCCTTGAAATAGATCTAGTTGAGTACACCCCATGCTCCCCTTTAGATTCACCCCTGCATGCTGCAGGTTTCACTGTGACAAAGTGTGATGGCTGCTGTCAGCCTGCTGCGAGTTGCCAAATTTAAATACTATGTCAAACTAAGCTAACAGATTATCTGCATACAAACAGCTTCTATTTTAACTTGTATAGCTTTACTGTAGCCTTGCTGCTGTGAAAGACAAACGGCGGTTGATGGGAGCAGCAGAAAACATCACTTTTCTTCACCTTTCAGCTTGTTGAACAGCTGGTTTGATTAAGGACTCTCTCCAGCTCTTTACCAGTAAAGGTTTAGTAGCGATTACAAGCACTGCTGTTGTTTTCCTTCACTGCACCTCAGTTCACCATCTCTGTAACGGAACCGTCTCTTTGCTCTTAGTGTATAGACAGGCTACAGCTCCATGTTAATTAAACTACGACAGCATAATTCTCACTGCTGTTGTATTATCAGTGTTTTTGTTGAGGAAAATAGGGGCTGCTTGGGCTGAATCTTGTTATACTTTTTTTATTCACAAATATGCCCATAAATACGTTTCTATCACAGGTCTATTTTTAGCTGCAAATGTAAGTGAAACGCTCGTGCTTACCTTGTATTGGTTCCGCTCTTTGGACTAGATGCAGAGACTGGGTGCTTTCTGTTGAGATATCGAATCATTGACGTTGTGCTTACCAATGGACACACTGTAAAGTATTTTCGCTTTTCTTTTGTTTGAAATGGTCCCAAACTTTACATTTTTTTGTTGTTTTCTCTGACTTTCCTTGCTATTTTCCCTGTCTTCCTCCATTGCGCCATCAAATCAAACCTGCTACACGTAATGCAGCGTAAGCACACTGTGCGACAGTAATAATCCTCCGGGTGAAACACGCTGATCACTAAGCAGTAGTCTTGCGGATTACACGAAGCATCGAAGCAATGAATTTGCATTGAGGATTTTTTGTAATCGAGTTATTCGAGTTACTTGATGAATCTTTGCAGCCCTAGATACCAGCACTTCTGGCTGTCCGTATGAAGCAAACAGGCCCTGCAGCACCACAATGGTGTTGTTACTGTTGTAGGAGGTGAAGTACGGCATTGGAAAGACTATTAATAACCACAAAAAAATACTGATTGTCCTTCTCAGGAAAGTCAATGTGAATTCTTTGCCACTCTCTCTTTGACCATCTCTATGGGCACTAAGGAGTCACTGTGGGCATTTTCTGTACCTTTTGGCAGACAGGGCAAGAGTTCTTCAATTTCTCCATCACGGCCTGGCCATTCGCTCCTTGGATTCTCTTGGGTCCTCCAGTAACCTCCATCAATAAGATGAGGGTATAATAACTCACTGACCCCAGAAAATGCAGCCTTCTTCTGCTGACAGTTCCTGCCTGCGTATGAAGTAAGGCCTCATCCCGCACATAATCCAGGCAACCACTCATTGTGTAATTCCACACTTTTCTGAGTACAGGGTCTTTCAAAGTGGCTTCCTCAATGTCCTTTGCACATACTGGTAGCTCCTACACATGTGAGAAATAGAAGATACTTCCCTCTTCTGCTGTGTTGTCCAGCGAAGCTCGGGGTAGCCATGACAGTGCATCTGCAATCGCAAGATCAGCTGGTTTCCTGTATTCTATTTCATAGCTATATGCCATGAGGATCAGAGTCCAGCTTTGCATCTATAATGCTGCCAAGGTCGGAACCCCTGTTTTTGGCCCCAGTATGGTCAACAGTCACTTGTGGTCAGTAATGAGCGTGAATTTCCTTCCTTACAAATATTTATGGATTTTTTTTTACTCCTCTTTTTCAATTTGTGCATACTTCCTTTCAGCATCCTTTAACGTCCTAGATGCCAAAGCCACAGGCTGTTCCTCTCCATTCTCCATGACATGAGAGTTTACAGCAATCTTCAATGGTAAATGAGTGTTATAGTAAACCTAAACTATTTGTTCTGTTGGAGTAGTTATTCAGCATCTTTAAATGCTTTTGCACAGTCAGTAGTTCAGACCCGCTTGGTCTCTTTTCTCAGTAGATTGTGCAAAGACTGGAGAACAGTGGTTGGACTTTGCAGGAAAGGGCCCTAATAATTAAGGAGACCTAAGAAGTTATGGCTGCCACTTTTTCCCCAGTAGGGTTTAAGCCATGCTTGTCAATGTGATGCCCCAGATATTCCACATTGTTCTGCAAAAATTTCCATTTGGAAAGTTTTACTCTGACGCCATGTTTCTTCAAACATGAGAGGACATCATAAAGCCTTTTTATATGCTCCTCCTCTGAAGATGTCTCCACTTCTATAGTTTACATTGACCTTATAGTCACCACATATCCTGACTGCCTTGACAATGGGAGCTGTCCAATAACTTTTCTCAGTCCATGAAATCACCCCTGCTTCCTCCAATCTGTCCAACTCTTTCTCCACAGCTTCCTTCATTCCATTACGAACTGGACAAGCCTTGTGGAGTATTGCAGTGGTATTGGGTTTTATACGGATTTTGGCCTTGAATCCTTGGATACAGCCTTGGCCCTCACAGACAACTTACTCTACAAAATAGAGCAAGTTAAGGGGGGGTGTAAAGACAATTTCCCCACAGGGATCAACAAAGTATTGATTATTATCATTGATTATTTAAATCCTCGTCACCATTGTAACAGACTCAATAATCAAACACAAGGAGATGAACACACACAGCCCTCTTTTACTGGCAGCTCAATACTATAACATAAACTTCATTACAGGCCAACCGTAAAGTAACATAGCAACAGTAATTTCACATTTTTATA